TAGAGACGGGGTTTCACCATGTTGACCAGGATGGTCTCGATCTCTTGACCTCGTGATCCACCCGCCTCGGCCTCCCACAGTGCTGGGATTACAGGCTTGAGCCACCGTGCCCGGCCGATATTTTTGTAGTTTTAAAGCAGTAATTTGCCTCAAGAAACTTGAACACTAGAAAGCAAATGGTGCCTACATTTGACTTTCCATCTGTTATGAGATATAAAGAGCATTAGTCTCCAGCATTATTGGCTATTTAACCGTCACATATCTATCCTATGTTTCTTATAATTCAATGTCTCTTTGAGAAGTTATTTAATCGGAGCTTATTAAATATTTCTAGTATGCGAACCCATTCCCTATTGACTTATATCTAGGAGGAAGAAATTTTAAATGAAAAACAGAGTCCTTTGATTCTTAAGCCCAAGAAGTCATACTATTTTAAAATAAACACGAACAAAGAACAGGCATCTATTTTTCAGAAAAATTATGGTGACCTACCCATGATGGGACAATTAATGTCAGCAGTAGCCTAATTGCCTGAAATATTGCAAAATATGTAGTCTGTATTCTTCCTTTTGCTACAATGTATCTGCTGGAAACCAAACTTTCATATTATACTGTAAAGAAAACAATATACAGTAAGACATTTAAAGGGGCACCTGATGAAGATGGCTTTTATTACGCAGGAAAAATACTATTCTTAAAACTGTTACTCTATAGCAAAGTAAGAATGACAGATGTTTCATAATCATGTTGCTTTAAAGAAAAAAAAGAATGGGGCTGCGCGGTGGCTCACACTCATAATCCCAGCACTTTGGGAGACCGAGGTGGGTGGATCATCTGAGGTCAGAAATTCAAGACCAGCCTGGCCATCATGGAGAAACCCCATCTTTAAAAAAATAAATAAATAAATAACAGATGTTTGTTTCATCTTGATAGTTAATAATTTAATTTTGTTTCTGACATATTTTGATTATATATTTTAATTAATTTATCTGAGATCAGGCCAGGCATGGTGGCTCACACCTGTAATCCCAGCACTCTGGGAGGCTAAGGTGGGTGGATCACTTGAGGCCAGGAGTTCAAGACCCGCCTAGCCAACATGGTAAAACATACTAAAAACACAAAAATTAGCCAGGCATGGTGATGGTGGTACATGCCTGTAATTCCAGCTTCTTTTCTTGGGAGGCTGAGGCAAGAGAACTGCTTGAGCCCAAAGGCTGCAGTGAACTGAGATCACGCCACTGCAATCCAGCCTGGGCAACAAAGCAAGACTGTCTCAAAAAAAAAATTTAAAAATAAATAATAATAATTATTAATCTGAGATAATTTGTGCTGTCTTTTTTTTTTTTTTTTAAGACACAGGCTCTCACTCTGTGGCCCAGGCTGCAGTGCAGTGGCATGACAGCTCACTACAGCCTCAATTCGAACTCCTGGACTCAAGCAATCCTCCCACCTTGGCATCTTGAGTAGCTGGGACTACAGGCACATGCCACCACACCTCGCTCATTTGTTTAATTTTTTGTAGAGACATATTGTCCAGGCTGGTCTTGAACCCCTGAGCTCAAGTAATCCTCCTGCCTCAGCCTCCCAAAGTGCTGGAATTACAGGTATGAGCCACCATATCTGGCCAGTGCTGTCAATTTTAATACAAGTATGCAGCATGATTTCATACACTTTTGCTTGTATTCCCCATCAATAATATTACTTTGATAAGCATTCTAATAAAGCTGGGAAAAACCAAATATGAGGAAAAGGAAAGCAGTTTATTAGAAGCCAAAGGAAATGAGTGAAAACCATGTTAATTGTTATGAAAGTTAAACAAAAACTGAGGTATCCACTGAATGTGGCAATTAAATAATCGTTAGTGACCTTATTCAATAGTTCCACAACAGTGAATAGACTATTGTCTCAAGAATTCTGGCACTGAAATGTCAGAGATGGGAAGGATAAAGATGAGGAAGGAAGTAGCTCTTTTTTTTTTTTTTT